CGAGTGAGGGCCCGGCAGCCAGGGCTGTGCGGTGCAGCTAAGCGCGCCCCGCCAAAGACGTCTGCCGCCGCCTACAGTGAATTATAGTGCAGAAACGTGACCAGAAAGCTGAACCTTGATTGATTAACTCAGTGCTTCTCAACCTTTTCAGACTCAGCCCCCCCCCCCCCCCCCCCCCCCCCACCCACCTCCCAAATCTCAATTTATTAAAACATGAGACGGAAAATGCTGTTTTCGTTCTGTTTTTTAACAGAAAAATAACAGCAATCCATCTGGTGCAAAGAACGCGGGAAGACCCCAGCAGACCTGGGTGCCTGTAACACTATGGATTCCTGTTTGAAATCTCTGGGCACCTATACATGTGCTCCAGGGTGCAGGGTGGAGAGCACCTCTGCAGAGCCGCTCATTAAAACGTCCGCAGCGTCTCATGTATTCAGCATCCCGTGTTTCCAAATGGCAGGAGTGATTTAACTAAAGGTCATTTGATGAGTTTTAAAAGCGCCCCTGCTGCTGTTTGGGAGCGCCGGGATGCTGAAGACACGAGGCGCTGCAGCGCGTGGCGCGTTCGGGTAAGAGCGCTCCTGCAGGCTCGACTGAGTCTAATCAGAGCGTGTGGGAGCACGTGTAGAAGTGCCCTCTGGGTTTATCTTGTGAATCGTGTTTGTACACCTAACAGTACTAACGTTGCATGGCTCCCTGTGGCACTCTTGAAAGGATCTTACAGCACCCCAGGGTGCCGCGATACCCAGGTTGAGAATCACTGGATTAACCGAAGGAGAGTTTCTTTATGTTTAAACTCACCTCCCATCTTGTTTTTAAACTAATTGATGCTTTTTGTCAATACAAGGACATATAGAATAAGCAAGGAGTGGAATACCTTATACTACTAGATCCTTGCTGTCACTGTTGTTAAGCAGTCAACTTTAACTTTTGAACCTCCAATAATCACTTCCCTGTAAGAAGGAACCTCCACTATCATGAAACTGGAAATTTGTGTGCCACCTGCCTCCAGCTGACCTAAGGAGAATAAAGGGATTGACTAGCACAAGGCTGGCTAACATGTGGCACGTGGTATAGATGATCTCTTGTGGTACGGACAGGTTGGAGAGGAGGCAGGGAACAGAAAGCAGAACAGCAGATTAGGCAGAAGAAGAGGATCAGTGACACTCCAATAGGGTGCAGAACTTAATTTGTGTCCAGCAGTGCCAGTCCCTCGATAGGAGGATGACAGTCTTCCAGTAAATAGGGAAATCATCAATGAGTCCATAGATGACTGAGGAAACCAATCCAAAATCCATGCGTTTGACTGCAGATGTGAATTTGTGGCACACCTTTTAGTGGAAGTTAAGGCTTCTGCCTGCTCTCTCCTATGCAAGGGAATTGACCCTTCTTGCCACTGAAGGGCCCCAGGATCCAGAGAGTTCAAAGGTTATGCCAGCAATGCATCGTGCCATCCTAATGTATGCAGGATCTGACCCAACATCCACAGTGTGATAGCTGCCATGCTTTCTCTTTAACTAGTCTCTGACTTTGAACCTGCAAACATTTATTAAAATGATTATTTGTGGTGTTGTAGTACTTTGGGATCCTTGTAATGGACCAAGAGCTGATTGTTGTGCTGGGCTGTGTCACGAGCATCCTGGACTGTGCCACAAGAGTCCTCACCTTTAATGTCTTACAGTGTAAGTATAAGAAAAGAAATAGATGATTAGACATGAACAGATGTGGAGAAAATGAGAAAACTGTGAGACCAATATTGGTCAGTTAGAAAGAGGTGAGGATCTTGGTACCATAACAGCATAACCAGTTTCAGATGGTTTGTGGACATCATGAAAAAAGGAGAGTTTTAAGGGGGATTTTGAAGGGAGGCAATAGGATAGATTTGTTGAAGTTTATGGAGAGTTCTTTCCAAGCATGGGAGGCACCATGGGACAGAGGAAAAAGGTGCTTGTTTGTAAGTTCAACAAGTAGGCAATGAGGCTGGCATCACCTGATGGCTGGAGAGAGTCAAAATCTCTGTAATCAAGAAGAGATAATAGGTCATGAATGGTCTCAACAAGTTGCTTATGATATGAAAAATGCCAAGAAAAGGGTGACATGGTCCCAAGTTGGGAAAAATTATCTCTGCAGCAGCATTGTGGGTGGATAAGAATGAGGCAGGATTGTAATTTTTAGCCAGAATCTGGAAGAAAGAGAAAGATCTAAGCCCCAAGTAATGTCCAGGAGTTCTTACTATTCCAAGGAACTATTTATGCTCCTTGAAATACTCCTACTCACACGAGAAAGTATTACTCGTATGAATTTAAAAAAGCAGGATATACCCTTTGCATTGCTGCCAGTTGTTATTCCTCTCTTAAATTGAACCTAGGATTTCTTATCCATGAAAAGTAACATTTGTGGCAATAAAGAGAAAGCCCCAAAACTCCTGAGTCTGGCTGTCTTCAGATACCATTCCTCCCCCCCACCTCCCCCCCCAGCACAGTATTGATTTTTTTCCCCAAAATTGAATTTATTTATATGATTACATTTAGGGACAATTTAACAGGAGTTAAAATGACAATAGCTGCTAGGTAAGCAGAAACTTCATTGTCATCAGTAGCCTCGCACTTACAGGATTTCATCCTGATTTCTGTTGGCAAAACTCTCTCTTGGTTTCTTTGTCAAGCTTTGGCTGTGCCCCAGGTCTGCCCTGAAATACAACAGTAATGACTTCCTATGCCTATATATGGACAAGGGTATAGTTTGTATCTGTGTTGGTCTAAGGACATAGGCAGACAAGGTTCTTTGGGTGAATCTGATATCTTTTATTAGACCAACTTAAATAGTTGGAAAACAATTATTAAGCAAGCTTTTGGGTTCAAAAACCCTTTGTCAGGCTAAGGAGGATTCAGCAGTGGGTATGTGATCTTCCTGGATGGAATGAAAAGTAAAGAAGCCAGAGGCTGGGCTGGTATGCATACAAGACAGGTAGTCAGTGAAAATGTAGATTGAGGAGTCAATGGGTAAGAGACAGGCTGGCAGGGGGGGAAAAGAGAGAAGGGGGAAGAAAGTGGGGATACCTGCCTGACATCTGATTCCCCAGGTATCTCTCCACTTTCATCCCCACTTTCATCCTTTACTTTTCATTCCATCCAGGAAGATCACATACCCACTGCTGAATCCTCCTTAGCCTGACAAAGGGTTTTTGAACCCAAAAGCTTGCTTAATAATTGTTTTCCAACTATTTAAGTTGGTTTAATAAAAGATATCAGATTCACTCAAAGAACCTTGTCTGCCTATATATGGACAAAGGCTTCCACAGAAGCCGCTAAGGGTGGAACTGAGCATGCACCAAGAGAGCAATGACATTCAGACATGCAGGAAGTAATCACAATGCTTGACTGGCAACCTCAGTATAGATTTCATCCCTTTAAGGAAAAGGGACTTTTTGTTTAGTCATCCCTATCTTATCTCAGAGACCAGGCTTTTCTTGGTCTTGCATAAAAAGCCCTGATGGAAGTGACATTTGTTACACGAAAGCACTCTACGGCCATGCCGTGACACACATGCATGGGTGCAGAGTACTTTAAAAGTGGCTGACTGCATGACAAATTAACCCTCATCTAATGAGGGTTCAGATGAAGGTGCTCCAATGTGAGTGCCTTAAGGAACTTCTGGTCCCTAAGGCCAGTTGTCAGTATGATTGGGGCTGAGGCCTGCCCCCAGTACTGTCTGCAAGAAGGAAGAGGGGAGAAGGGAGAAGGAGGGAGCTGTAGGCTGGGGTTTGCCCAACCTGAGCTGGAAGGTGGGGGTGGATTGGAGCCCCCCCACCGTCTTGTGCCTCCCCAAATGCTTCCCACTCCAGCTCAGATCAGGAAAACCCCAGCCTGCAGCTCCCTCCCCCTCTCTCCATGCAGACAGCACCACAGCTGGTGGGGGGGCGTTAGGGGAGAGAGGCTGCAGGCAGACTCTTCTGCTGGACTGGCTCCAAAATGGAGCTTGATTTCTCCTCCCGCTACCTCAACAGACTAGGGAGGGTCTCTTAACTCATGGCACTTTATGTGAAGTGCCATGAGTTAGAGCAGACAAGGTTCCTTGGGTGAATTTGATATCTTTTATTAGACCAACCCAAATGGTTGGAGAATAGTTATTAAGCAAGCTTTCGGGTTCAAAAACCCTTCGTCAGGCTAGGGAAGCTGCAGCAGTTGGTGTGTGCTCTTCCTGGATGGAATGAAAAGTAAAGAAGCCAGGGGCTGGGCTGGGCTGGGGAGTCAGTTGCCAGGCAGATTGTAATGTATCAAAAATCCAATGTCTATGTTTAGTCCCTGATCTCTAGTATCCAGCAGGTTGATGAAATGGAGCTCATAGGCTCGTCTCTGGGATGTGT